TGCGTAGCTTCTATGGGTCTGACTTCACGGACGGTACATACATACAAACAACTGCTCATACATTAAACTCAACGCAAATTTTCGACAACAAAAATAATTTGCTCTTGTTGTTTTTTGTTTTCACTTGAGCGCCAAAGCCGCTGCACAAAAACTTATGTAATTTCCGTTTTTGGCAACGGACACAGCAAGCTCTGACGGATGTCTAGTAACAGCGCCAACGGGTAACGGGTAAACACACAATAACTGAGCTTTACAATTGGCCTTTTTGGGTAACGTCTTCCTTAGCTAGGACAAATGACAGGCAGGAGTTGAGGCTCTAGAGGCTGTAGAGCTGAGTGGTATACAAATATGCGAGGTAGTATATGCGTGCGAAAGAGTAAAGAAGGTATGAACCTTAATGGTGAGGACAGAGAAATATGGGAAAGCTGAACATTCCAAAGATATAAAACCTTGAACGCGATCATAAGCTTGGCCATTATCGACAAGTGATTGTCTTGCTCACCAAAGAACTAATAATAAAGTTCAAGTCTTAACACGAGCCTCAAAATTTTCTTTCAAATTCTGTTCTGCGGCTGCGGTAGCCAAGTGATTGCCACTGTGTACTGCCATTCTATATGCCAGTGCTCAAATCCCGGTGCAAGCAACATTCAAAAGTTACAGAAAATTAATTTAAACAAAAAATTTAGTTAAATTTTGTAATAGCGATTGTCCTTCGGCAAATCCACAAATTGGAGGAGGACCTCGGCCGAAAATCGCTTTAGCCTTTACAAAGCACCAATTGTTAATGGAGCTGTGTACAAAAGTCATAATAAATATGAAATGTTCAAAAGTATGAATTAAAAGTGTCGTCGAGTTAAACCCAAAGGCGCCCTACTCGTGGAGTTTAGAAACACCACAATACGGAAAATGTAAAAGCAAATTACGCTAACCTCTAAAAAATTGGTTTCAAAGAATTATGAGACTTCTAAAAAAGATACAGCGATGTTCTGACTACTTTTCCTCACCCGACTTTAAGAGCAGGAAATCAAACTTTTTACGAATTAAAGCCTTTTTAGAATCGATCTTTAAAGTTTTTAAAGTATTCTCGAGAAGGAATACCACCTTTCTATCTTCGCTCCACCCATATTTTGTTTTTGCAAATTACCATTCAAACTTTGCAAGCTTTTAAATTTATGAATGTGTCAATTTGGAATTGCCGCAAATTTACGCAACCTCTCCTCCAACCTGGAAAATAAATAATATCTGTGGTGCATAAAAGATGTTGGCATTTTGGCCACGCAGAAACTTTTAGCAAAACAAATTTTGTCGGAATGTCACTTTGGTCGCAAGGAATTTGTCCATTTCAAGCGGAGCGAGTTTCTATCCATGCCCACAGACACGCAGCAGCAGCGCAGCGAGGTGTCACCGGGCGCAGACAACAAAATGTAAGGCGAAATTGAGCTGAAATCGATGCAGAAATAGAAAATGAAACCGAAAGCGCACTAGAACGAGAACGAGAACGAACTGAAGGCGACAGTGGCAAATAGAAAATTGCATAATTGAAGAGGGAAATTTATCTATTCGTTTACTCGTGCAGTGTTAACGGTAACAGCTGTGCTCGAAAGGGTTTTGTATTTGCTCTTTGTATTTTTTCTCCATTATTTTTGTTTTTGTAGCCACAACATTGGGCATAAGAAGTTGGCAATTTAACGACTGTTTTTTGCTACTTTTTCCAGAGAAGCATTTTTTGTGGGCCACAAGGCGACGATGAAATGGAATGAAATGACGTGACAGCAGCAATTGTGTTGGCGATAATGGAATACAAAATGTGTGGCGGAATTGCTTTGTTTTTTGTTTTGTATTTGCTGTTTTTGCTGATGTTTTGGTATATTATATGCAATTTTTTATATACAAGTGAAGTGTCGGTGTTTCTGAGTTTTTCGCTATTTTTTGGCACTGTTGTCGATATTCTATGCTTTGTTGTTGGGAAATACTTTGTTACTTGGCGGTAGGCCATTCTGGTTTTGTTTACTGCTTTGATTTCTCGCCACTTCAGCCAGCTTTTCTAAACAGTATTTTTTACACAGCCAAATAAATGTATATATATGCTGCAGTTGACGAGAGGATTGCGTGTCGCGTGTCGCTGCAACGTGTACGGAAATTTTACGAAAAAACTTAGGAAAAATTTTTGTAATTTAAAATAAGCGAAAGAAATTAAAACAGGAAAACGTAAGGCAAAAAAAAAAATAATTGCCATTAATATGAATTGCTGGAAACTCAAAAATATGTGCGAAACGCGCGCAGGCAGATTCGCAGGCACAAAGAGAAAAAACACCAAGAAATACTTTTGTATATTTGAAAAAAAAAAATCACAGACAACAATAAAAAGTGAGCCGATGGTGATTCATTTGTGAGTAGGAAATAAATCACGTGAAAAACGTTTGGAAATCTTCAGCAAAAAAAAGCTCAAACCACCGAGAGACACGCAGCAGTTCAAAAAAATCAAAATTAATAACCATAAATACGTATGCAGTTATTTAAAAATAAATATATACATATGTGTGCAATATGTGTGCAGCCGCTAAGGCAAGCAGCGTAAATTAGCCTACTCAAAGCCCGCCGCAGCAGACAGTGGGCGCTCGCTAGCATTTCACTCAGCTGAACAGTTCAACAAACTTTTGAGTTTTAAATAATTTACCGCCTGCAACAGATGCAACAAAATTTTAATAAAAAATAAAAACAAAAGAAAAAAACAGCCAAAATTTTGTGTTAAAGGAATAAAAGCAAAGCAACGGTTGCAAAGGAGGCAAAGCGGAGAAGTTAAAAAAAGCTCAAAAAAGATCTCCGAAAAGCAACGATTTAACACTGCTGTCTGAAGGCGAAAAATAAAAAGCAGAAGCAAAAAGCGAAGCTGCTGATGAGCCAACAATCGAAAGCAAACTTGCAACCCGGCATCAAAGCAGGCAAATGAAGTAAACCCAAGCCAAGTGATGACTTCTTTTTTCCCTCGTTGCTTTAAACTTTTTTCCACTTCTTTTTAATTGAAAAAAAAAAACTGCTGCCGCTGCTTCTTCGACACTAGAGACAACTGAGGCATAAATATTATCACACTTTTGTCTGCATCGTAAAAACCCATTTATTATATTTATTTATTATTATACTTATTTTAATTTTCCTATTTACATACATATTAAGATATTTAAATGGTGAGCGCATCTGTAGTAAATGTATGTTTCATAAATAATTATAAATATAATTTTAAGTGCTTCAAGTGGGCTGCCAATTGACAAATCTATTTGTTGCAGAAAGCCAAAGCAAACTGTAACAACAGCAACGAAAAGTTTGAAAACCAGTTTTCTTCTCTTCCTTCGAATATAGTGAGTCCTAGCTGTAACCGACAACACTTGTGTGAATATATGTGCTTGTGGGTTATACAACATGCAACATACAATTGTATAATCCGTATCTAAATGTAGACCACACAAATCCAGGAGATTTCGGGTGAGGTTTGTTGACAATGATTGTAAAAGCTAATTGAAGAGGGAACTGTGGTCGCTTGGAATGAAAGGGAGTATTGTAGAGAATGTAAGGCATTCGGGAAACCTTCAGAATTATTGCTCTAATTACAGTACATTATTCGACTGCAAGTCGTGGGCTGTTACAGAGTTTCGACTTATTAATATTTCGCAGCATTACAATAGGTACACCGTTTTTTAAATGTAGTAAGTGCGGTGGTGCACACGCTAAATCCAAAGATGTCAATTGACTTATATGCGGCGCATTCGCTTTCAATGACGGACTGATTGGCTTGGTTGAGATCGTAGACATCTCAGTCTGTTGCAGCAAGGATATGTAGATCCCTCATGCTTACGTGATCCCTATAGTTGATTTTGATTGATTGATATTTGGGAATAATCCGTGAATCAATTCTTTTTTTTGATGTCACTGAATTACAGATGTTACGGGTAATGCAATTCGATCAGAATACCGATTAATTGGCAAGTCCTCGGTCCACTTCTCGGAGAGAAGAGCCATAAAAAAAGATTTTTCGAATAAGTCGGTCGTTGGCCCACTTCCTAGATCGCAGTGTAGTCTTCCTGTCAATCTTAACAAAAAGCCACCGAAAATATACCGAATTTCAAATAAATCGAACCATAGATCAGTCCTCTTCGCGGTGTGAAAAATGGATAATATGTTATTCTCAGACCTACTGAATATGCACCTAAAATTTCATCAAACTCGGTCCAGCCGTTTCGGAGGAGTATCGTGACACTGCAATGTGACACAAGAATTTCATATATCCGATAAACATATAGATTGAGCTTTGAATAACTGGAAACTGAAAAAAGGTTTCATCATATTAAAAGAATAAATTGTATTTAAAAAAATCACATTTCCCGCCTCTGTTACTGTGCGTGGTGTCAGCCAGCAGTCCAGTCCTTCAGAAATATATGCTTGTATGTGTGTGTGAAAGTAAATTACTTGACGAGAACTAGTGCTGGATGGAGGTTGTGCATAAATTAAATACCCACCAAGGATAAAAGGAATGGTACGGCAAAGTTGAAACGTATGGGTTGCATGTTCATGTGTACGTGTTTCAGACAGACAAAACTTTAAGCCCCACATTTGAAGTTTAAAGAAGGAAGCAAATAATTTCCACTATTTACTGGTGTCTGAAGTTTATAAATTTTTGTGAAATACTCAAATTTCGAGGTGACAGGGATTAATTATGCTAAATTCTTTTAAATATGTAAATATGCACGGGTTGCTGCTAAATCTGATTACAGAACGACTTATGAGACCTAAAGCACGAGAAATACTCGTACAGCGCTTGACGCTCAAGTCATGGCAATTAAAATGTTAATTAGAAACACTTCAGCAGCTCTCGGTCTCCTTTTGGAGCTCATATTTTTTTAATTTGTAATTATTTTTCTACTATTTCTTTTTACTTCATTATTTTCACTTTGCTTTTCGAAAATTCTGTTAATGTACTTTTCGTCATTTGTCTTCGTCAACTATCCGTCAAAGAGCCTTTTATAAATTCAACTCTTTTCGCCATTTTTTTATTTTACTCTTTTTTAACGAAATTTACGAAATTAACGAATAAGTTTTTATCCAACCATTTTTGCATGTATTTACTTTTCACCAGCTCAACTTCGAAATAGTTTATCAAAACGCAAAACGAGTAAAGGCCATCAAGAGCGAGCCAACAGCCTTTCGAGTGTAAAGAATGCTAAGGGTTGCTCTCTGCTCGCTCGAATGGATCCTACCTCGCCTGCATAGCTCCGGCGATGAGCGTCAGAAGCAGCAAAACCATCAGCAACAGCAGCAGCAGCAATAACACAGCCTTCAAGGTCGTCAGACAAGTTCACTCTGTACGCCGACAAATGGAAGCCATGAATGAAGGAATGAATGAATGAATGAACGAGTGAGTGAGGGAGAGACTCGCACGAGTAAAATAAAAGTCGGTTTGTGTGGAAATTGCATAAGCTAACCAACACAAACGTCGCACTGACTGCTGACTGGCTGACCACCGCCTCCTACCATACCAAGGCCTATCTGTAGCTGTGTATCAGTGCCGCGCTTTCATGCGTCTGTTTTTGGCTCTGAACACTAAGAACACTGCGAAATGGAAGACGGCAGTTCTCGGAATATTGAGAATTAATTGTAATAAGGAAAACATAAAGATGAATGATGAAAGAGCAACTCCATATATTTGTATGAATATATGTACAGATGTATGTATTATATCTAAGTATTTAAAGATAAACAACCCGCTGCAGTAGGAAACAACAAACAAACATTTAAGAGAAAAAAATTTAAATATAACACAAAAAAAGACAACAATAAAAAGAGAGAAAAAGTAGTTAACGGAAAGATAAAGCAGAAGTAGGAAAGGAAAGTCTTTTACTACTACCTCGAGGCAAGCCAAACGCAGCATACGGACCTACGAGTATTCTCATTCACATCCAAGTTGCACATAAGAGAATTGCACGTAATCCACAGCCGTGTAATAAGAACAATTTAGAACAGCGAACTATTTGGTGGACAAAAATCCAGTTCTCAGCGTAGAGTTAGAAATAGTTGGCCTAAGCAGGACTCTTAAGTACTCTTCTGCCTAAATTTCTGTGAGTACAAGATTTTTATCGCTGGTATAACACAAGCTTTGCCATATTTCAAAATTTTCTTCTCCGTTCTCCTCAAATTAACTTTTATACTAATAGTTTTATGCCACTTTTTGATCTAATATTCTTCTGAATTGACGCAAATTACATCATTTATTATTTTTATTGTTCGTTTGTAGTGGTTTCAGCTGTTCTGTGTTGGTTGCTGAGCTGCTGGAGTGTCTTCGGCTATTTAATTTGTTACCCGCTTTTTTATATTCTTCTTCCGAAATTGGTACTTGACGCAATGAGTATAATTTCTCTTTTTGTTTCCCATCCTCTGTTATTCTCTTTCTTGATATGTTTCTTTAATTATGGCTTTTTATTTATATTATATATTTGTAGTAGTTTTGTGTCTGCGAATTTCAGACATCTTCTGCAGAATTTTTTTCGCACTTCTCGCACATTATTCGTTTCACACTTCATTTCCAACAAGTTTCGTTTGCTTCCTTTTTCAGCAATTATTGTATTTTTGTTTTATTATTGGTGAAACGTACATACATATGTGCGAACATGTGAATATTGAGTAAACAATTGTTGAGAAAATATATGTACATAAATATATTCATCAATTTTATTCCATTTTCCCTACCAATGGCGTCTTTCAGGAACAAATTACCGAAACCCATTCCTTCTAGTTAATGATCAAAATACTCAGGAAGAGAATCACATATGAAAACCAAATATAGATATGTATGCTACTACTTTCTTTTTTCGATTCTTTTTTTTTTTTTGTATGTTCTCAAGCATTAAAGCGCACAAAGCCTTTTTCTTTAACCTGAAACCCAGAGGAAAAGCTAAAAAGGATTTTTAAATGAGTGCATAATAGAATGAGTTTTGTAAACCGAGAGCAAAATACAAAGAGTACGAACTCCAAGGCTACATAAAGGAAGAAAAGTGAAAAAGCAAAAACAACTCTTAATTGCCAAATGTATTGTCAACCAAGAGCCGGCAATAAGTCTCGTAGAGGACTAATGAAAACAGCTTACAGAAACGTGGGCAACAGAGCACTACACAAAAGTGAGGCAAAGCAAACAAAGGTGTGCCAAAGAGATGGAAGAAATTACAAACAAGCAAAGAATGGGAGAAATTTAAAGCAAATTTAGGTCTAGAGAAGAACAAGAAAGAGATGTATACATATAAATATATGTATGTAATTGGAACTTTGTAACCGCTGATGCTATTTTCAGCTCAGCTCCTCCTCCAGTCAAATCGAGTTTGTTATAAGTCGCCTCTGAACGGGCGATAGATTTTTGGGAGGTGCCTCGGAGGTCTGGACATTCCCTGCAGATGAGCGATCACAATTAGAAAAATTAATTTCTGTAATTTTAGATATTGGTCGAAGCAGGCCTTCCAAATGTCGTACGCCATGCCAACCACTCAGCTCTTGCGTTCGCTTTTGATTTGGAAAGGATATTTAATGTCGCTGCATACAGAGACTTTAAGTCCAGAATGTCAAAGAAAAAACAGTTATTTTCCTAGTTTTCTATCATATTTTTTCCAATTTTCAACTAAATTTTTAACTTTGCAATTTTATTTGAACACTTCAATTATTTTGCAGTATTCATTTTATTTTTTTCTATAAAATATATTTGCTATAATGTGACAATAATTTTCTTTTATATTTTCTTAAACTACTTCTTACTAGCTCCTCGCATAACTCAACAAACATCCATCTTAGGCTCAATCGTTATGAGGGTATTAATTTATAGAAGGTTATCCGAATCGACTCCGTCGGGCTGCGTCGTCGGCTGACATTACACTACAACCACAGCCGCTACAACTACAACAGCAACAAGACAACCACACAGTGTCAGAGTAGCAAGGACCCAACACAGCTCTTGCCTCACTTACCGAGCAACAGTAACAGAGTTACACAATGTCGCTTATTTATTCGGAAAAACAACAACAAACATAAAATAAACGAATAAAACAACTTAAATGTACATATTATATATACAATATGTACATATGTAAAAAGCAGAGTACTCAAGGTGGCGTGCGGTGCGAGGGATGGTCGAAGAGCATGTGACTAAAGTGTTACAGAATTTCACAACAACAAATAGCCGCCAACCATTGGTGTCTCGCTGAACCTTACGTTTTCTATGTGGTTTTCCATTATTTTTATTTTACTCTTGGGTAAGCAGCTGCCACTGATAGAATGTGGCAGCAGCAAACAACAACAAAGTATTACTTTGAACAACCGCTCAGCTCTTCCTGATGCTGAGTTACCAATCCTATCTTTACCGTTACCGCTAAAGCCAAGCGCAGACGGCTCTGGTGTGAGTGACTTCGGAAGCAGGACAAAAAAGGGAAGAGAAGTGCGAGTAAGCACCGATTGACCTCGTAGAAATGTAATTTAACATTAGGCCAAGATGGCTGACAGACATATGGCACAGTCCAGTGGTCGGTGACCAAAGCAACTGTAGCCGAAGCAGATATCGAGCTGCGGTCAACAAGAAGTAGATTCAGTGGCTGACTGCGAAGCTCGGTTTCGGTGCGTCCAGTGCGATAAATGTCAGCCTCCATCGGCCCCGACGGAATAAGCATGCTGATGCTGAAACATCTTGGACCAGCGGGAGCAGAATTTCTCGCGAGGGTCCTCAATCTCGCCTTGACCACCCTAAAGATACCCGACGTGTGGAAAATGGGTAGGGTGGTCCCGCTACTAAAACCGGGGAAACCAGCCAACAAAGGAGAGTCTTATCGGCCGATAACTCTCCTCTCCCCAGTAGCGAAGACGCTTGAGGCCTTACTGCTCCCGACCTTCACTCACCATCTGCGTCCAGCAGCGCATCAGCATGGCTTCCGAAAAGTGCACAGCACCACAACAGCACTTAACGCCATAAACACCCAGATAGTCCATGGCCTCAACCAAAACCGACCCTGCGCGCGAACTGTCCTAGTAGCACTGGACCTGTCAAAAGCCTTTGACACAGTAAACCATTCAGTGCTACTAACGGACATTGAGGAATCCTCATTACCGCCGGGGTTGCAGAGGTGGGTCATGGGCTACCTGAGTGGTCGACAATCATCGGTAATATTCCGAGGTAAAACATCTAAACCCAGAAAAATTAAACAGGGGGTTCCGCAGGGTGGTGTCCTCTCCCCGCTACTGTTTAATTTTTACATATCGAAACTCCCTCCACCACCAGAAGGAGTTTCCCTAACCTCGTATGCCGATGACTGTACGATAATGGCGTCTGGCCAGGATATTGATGACCTCTGCTCGAAAGTAAACGGCTACCTCGCTGATCTCTCCCACTTCTTCACTGCAAGACAACTACGAATCCAACCGACAAAATCCTCGGCTACCCTTTTCACCAGCTGGACGAAGGAGTACAGGCTTGAACTAGATGTAAAGGTCGATGACGAAAAAATTCCGACGATAAATAACCCAAAAATATTGGGAGTAACTCTGGACAGCCTGCACTCCTTCACTCCGCATACGACCGCAATTGCCGCAAAACTCCAGAGCCGCAACAAAATACTCAAAGCGCTAGCCGGCAGCACCTGGGGTAAAGATAAAGAAACTTTGCTGGCTACTTACAAAGCAATTGGCCGGCCGGTCGTAAACTATGCTGCTCCGATCTGGACGCCGGGGACGAACGGGACGCAGATGAAGAAGCTACAGGCTTGCCAAAACACCGCCCTTAGGACTGCGACAGGAAACCTCCTGATGTCGCCGGAGCATCACTTGCACAGGGAAGCATCTATGCTACGAGTTAAGGAGCATAATGCTTTGCTGTGCAAGCAGTTCCTACTGGGATGCTACCGCAGGGAGCACCCCAGTAGGCACTTAATAGAAGCTGAACCTCCACCTAGGCACATCAGGAAGGGAGTACTAGACCTCAAAGACACGATCCAGCAACACACACAACAACCGCTGGACAGGACGGCGTATCGACAGGCACTGAACGCCATTCACCAGGAGTCAGTTAACACCTTCATGAACTCCCTTCCAGTGAATGGCGTACTCGGAGAAATACCACCACCCATAGCAGACAACGAGCTCGAGCTGCCTCGAGAGACCCGCGTGACCCTGACACAACTTAGGTCTGGATATTGTAGTAGGTTAAACTCCTACCTATCCAGACTAGACCCCAGCATACCTAACGTATGCCCGGCATGTGGAGAGTCCCCGCACGACACTAACCACCTCTTCACATGCCCCCTCAAACCTACTCATCTAACACCCCTCTCCCTTTTTCCTGGGCCTACCCTTAGATGACCTCGACGACTTAGACTAACTCAAGCCTGTGCCTAAGCGGGGTTAGCGAATCCGCTACAACAACAACAACATAAATGTCAGGCATGACTGAGTATGTTAAGAACGCTTTGCTTAAGGGTATTTCGTATGAAATTATGTGCTGCAGAACGGATGTGTAGTTGTGCGTCGACAACAGGCACGCATGCCATGGGAATCAAAGGGATTTTGAGGCATAAGCAGCAGCAGAAGCAATAAACCGACAAACAACAAAAATACCCACTTAGAGAGGCGGCACTAAGTGGGCGGAAGGATTTATTTTGGATGAATGTCGTTTGGTAAGAAGGAAGCCAGATGGTGATATCGACTAGTGTGTGTATGTAACCTCCTGAACAGTTATTCTCATAAATACGATGCCACATTGAAACGGAAGTAAAGCACTGGAGGCAAGCATGGCTTAGAGCAGCTAGATTTTAGGCTCGTGGGTCAGGATCCTGTAAGATGCGGCCTATATTTTCGAGGTTACCTTGAACTTATACTCCTGCAACCTTATTTTCCCTATCCCCTGTGCCGGTATCTTCTATATATATTATATATTAATTGGCTACAACATTTTGTGAAATCCTAATTGTGTAAATGGGGTTGAGAAAAACTGCAGAGTGCAAAAAAAATGAGCGGCAGTACGATTTTTCCAAGCTCTTCTGTGAGTAAACAACACATGCGCATTGCAACAGCCAATATTGTTGTCCCAATGGACAAGTAAAGCGATGAGCTTTTAGTGCATTTCCGTGTTCAAGCAAAAGTTCTCGGGCAACCGCCGCAATCGAACAAACTAAGCCAAGAGACCGATGTGGAAAACAGCTCACCAATCTCTCGACTAGGATACGCGCATTTACTGCGATTCATCACCGCCCAACGCACCGTTATGGCAGTTAAACCCTACCATAACTGCACAGCGCCGCCATAACTCACGGAGGATGCAACTCCATTTATAGTCACAGTTAGATTTAACACACCTCGCACTTAGCATGGCACCCGTCAGTTGCATGGCGGCAGTGACAGCGAGATGCATGGTGTGCAAGTAGTGGGAGGGAAACTGGACTGAAAACTTAATTAAGACAACATGTCCACATCCATGAACTTTTGTATGTGCGCTACAGGCAAAACAAATGAGCATACCAAGTTCCAGCTGCGAAATGCTCCTGTTTCGCATTTACTTGTGACCGCGCCGCTGATGGCCTTAAGAGAGTTGTACCAAAAAAAAAATTTCCTACTGATATCATTGTTGGTGTTGCTGATTAAAATTTAGTTCCGGTCGGTGTCCTTACTGCGGTGACCCGAGCCCTGAGTTGAAGATTGTCTGTTGTTTTGGTTGTAACAGCTAGGAGACTCAGAAAATGAGCTACTTGGGCTCGATTGTGATTGAGTCCTGGACCTCTGAGTCTTTCCACTTAAGAAAGGTGTGAATAATAAATGTTTTCATTGTGCTTACCTTATATACATCGCCATAAGTTCCGGATCCGATCTTCTGTATCAGTTCGTATTCATCCTGTGGATTTCGTCGCGAAATGTCCGAGCTAAGCAGATTGGCAGCGTTATGGTGGGCGTGCGCCATATTGTTGCCTTTGTAATTAATATTGCCGCTAACTTGAGGACTCCAAGCTATGGAGCAATTTGAGCACTGAATTCAAGTTTACAGAACTTCGTGAAATTCCCGCACAGTGTGTAACTTACTTTTGTTAGAGTTTTTCATTAAATTTAATTTTACTGCCTTTTAGCTAAAATTTTAATTTTTCAAAACACATATGATTAACTTTTTCTTTGGTTCTCAAAATGTATCTGTCAACATACCAACCATCACTCATCGCAGTGAGGAGAGTTAAATGTATCGCAAAAAGCAAACAAAAAGGCAAAATTATTGTCTTTGTCCGAATATTTTACACTCAAAACAACAGCGTTCCGGCATTCAACTAAAATAGCGAAACCGCCGCGTCGCTACAACAATTTGAGAACTCGATTGTTGTGATCGGCAATGAAAAGCTAAGTGTATATGGTCTCAGTTGCGTGTATTTGTATTAACATGTCCACCACCTGCTCGACATTCGTGTTGGCGTTCAGGAGCTTACAAAGAAATAAAGTAACTTGGTTTCGCTTCAATTGCATGCACACGGACGTTTTGTTGGTCCACTAGCCGACTAACTTAATGATGAGACCGAACGTTTTTGTTTCCGAAAATATAATTTTACACTTTGCTTAGTTTTTTTTTGATTAATTCGTGAATATTTGTGTTGGGTAGGTATTGGGTTTTTGGAACATTTTAAAACAATCTCTCGCGTTCCAATATAAGTTTTCGACAATTTTGTTTATAAACTTGTATATAATACTTGTCAAAATCTGAAGAAAACAAACATAGCTAAGACAACTTTGCGGATTTTGAAATTTAGCTTCGCGCACCGCTGGCTCCACGAAGTCGGAGTTATGCTTTATAAGGAGTCGACGCAGCAGCGATGTGTCGACGTTGAGGCAGAAGAGTAGAAAGTTAATAATAAGGAAAGCACATCTCACTAAACACGTATGCAATTTTTTTTTACTAAAAATGTGGAATTTTCTTAAACCGTTTTGAATATTTTGATTTCTTCATTCTAAATGTGCCACTTGGATGCGCACATATTCATCAAGCACTTCTCGGCCTCTACGAACACTTAAAATAATAGGCAAACAGAACAAGAAAAGGAAAATTTAGTTAACAAAAAATTAACAATTCACTTTACAACAAATAACATAAATAAATGAAAAAATGTTGAATTTGCCAGAAGTAGCAAGGCATTGGGGGACTTAGAGGCAGCAAATAATAGCTGGGCAGCTGGCTGAGGCAGTAGACAATGGCGTAGATGTTGGTTGAAAAAAACAGGGCGATGTCGCACAGACACTCTTTACTGCGCTACAGCTGCCACACAATCGCTTTTATTTTCATTATTATTATTATTTTATTCTTTTCATTGCCCACCACTTTAACACAGCCTTCGCACTTGCACAACAACACTTTTACTAAATTAAACAAAATTATAGTAAAGATTATCCTTTATACTGCAAATACATTTATATTTTATTGTGTTTGCTAATAAATTGGAAATTGTATATTTTCCATTCGACACGCGACGCAGCAATCGACGACGACGACGACAGCGAAACGATTTTTTGACAAATCAGTCGATGATTGTCACTCGCAGCTCTGTTACCCTCGCTGCTGGCGTTTTCTGTGCAGCGCTGTCGTTCATGTCAAACCTGACAGTTAATGGGGTTGTTAAGTGCACTAATCAGGTATGGATGCATCGGTAAGTAGCAGTAGGCGATTTATTTGTATGTAAACTTCAGCTAAATCTAGCTTAAAAATAATTAAAAACTTCAATTCAGAGCAAGCCATTATTAATATTAGTTATTTATATATTCATTAACCGAATTCGTTTAAACACGCCTTGCTAATTGTAGGGATTGGTTGTGATATAAAATAATTTGAATTTGACTGTAGCGACAGCTGTTGGTCGAGTTTCTGCATGTGGGCACGCTGAACAGGGCAATTCAACATAAATAAAAACAGAACTGCTAATTAAAAAAATATTTATTACATTTTTTAAATAACTGTAATAGAAAAAAGTGTAGATTATTTTTAAATTTTTAAGGATTTGGTTTAGAAAAAAGTGTAGATGATTTTAAAATTTTCAAGGATTTGTTTTTTTTTATTATATTTGCACAATTTTCAAAATTCCCTAAACAAAGTAAACTAAAATTTTGTAGTTTTACTTAAAAATCCACCATTTTTTATTTATTTTCCTAGTTTTCGTTAAATTTCAATACGGATTTTGAACATATTTCTGCGTTTTCGTACTGTGTTTCTTTAGTGTGTAAATAATGTGTACATTTGCTTTCTTTTTCCAATCTTAGCTCGTAAACTATTTTTCATACAGTTTTTCAGAATAAATAAAAAACTTAATATATCGAAAATACATTTTTATAGTATGGTAATTTAAAAAAGTCATAGTATATATTGCACATTTAATAAGGGGAAATATTTGTAGTAAAGATTACATTCGAGAACTTTTAAGAATAACATGCTAAGATGTGATACTGAAAAATTATTAGTTTTTATACAAGTCGTAGTTTTTAAAGGAATACATTTACAATTAAAACTATAAAACTATAAAACAATTTAACAAGGTAATGTAAAAATTAAAAAATAAACGCAAATCGTAGAATACATTCGAATACTGGGGGCTTTCGTCTAAACTTACAAATGCTTGAGCGTTCGGATGAATTCCCCCTTAAGAGTTGAAAGTGTCGGTTTTAGCATTTTTAGAAAATGTACAGAATTGGTTGTGTGCGAGTATTCGAAATTTTTGTGAAAAAACTTCGTAAAATTTATAGTAAATAATAAACGTGAAAGAAAATGCCGGGTTCAGTAAGCATTGTGCAAATTTCCTAGCAGTGCTACGCAAGGGTTGCCACCTTTGCTACCGTCACTACACTTCTCGCCTGCTCGTTGTCGCCACGGCATTTGTAACGAAAGATGATTGTATGCGGTCGTTACCGTTAATAACGCTTTCATAATTTTCTTATGCTCCGATCAGCAGCGGCAGAATTAAGTTTCGATCTGTGTGAATTTTGAGAAAAAAAAGTTATTTAGTACAATTTACGTATATGATTGAAAAGTTGCTAAAATCTAAAACCAGCCATAGCCAAGAACTGCGGAGATCTTTTAGAACTCGAAATTGTGTACAAGAAAATGCAGCGAAAGCTTAAAAGGTTTAGTAATTTCTAAAAATAAAGAATATAACTGTGATGTGTTAAATGATATACAGACATACAATACATATGTACAATGTTAGCTGATAAATGAAATGCGAGAACAGAATGCATTAAAAATTGTTTCCGGTCCACTTTTTACATACGACACATGGACGGATATCACTCACAGAAGTTATTATTCAAAACTATTGCCGAATGGTGATTGAAATTTCTTCCTGACATTGAACAAGCGTTTTAGTAGCGTGAATGAGTTGTAAGCCAAAGCTTAAGCTTAGCTTTAAAGCTTGATATAATGGACACCTCAGCTTTATTTACAAGCCTTTTTAAAAGCTTTGGAGTTGTTTAACATTTAAATCTGAAACGTTCATTAGTAGCAAAGTCATAAAATTGAAAAAAATTTAACAGTATTACAGCCATTTTTTGTTAAAAGCACTTCTATAAACTTTTACAAGCAAAACCGGAAAATTGGAACATCTTTTAAACATTGCAAACGCATGCAAAGGGCTTACCCGTTTATTAGCGTTGCCAAAATAGCACCTTATAACCGTCTTTTAGATTTTCAAAAGCTATTTTTCCTTTTTTTAACAGTGTCATACATACATACATACACTTTTCCTATTTTTCGAATATATTCGACTAATAAAAGCTATCAACATTGAAGTATGAATAATACAAAATTGTTTTTTAAGTTTTTTTTAGTTTAATTGTGTAAGTTTTGGTGAAGCGTGCTCTGGCGGGCGATATTAAGCTCTCTTGTTTCAAAAGTCATCATCCTGTGTGTGTTGAGGGTAGGCATAGGAAATTAAGGTTAAGATTAGTTGGCGCCTTGGAAATAGTTAGGTAAATGAAAGATATTCTAAAATATGAAAATCTTACGCGTGAGCTTCTTAAAGAATTTTCAGTAATGAAAGCCACCAAAGTAATAATAAGCTATGGATTTAGTTGCTCTGAATACTAAAAAGCTTGTTGATGATGTTTTTTAAATTAATTTTATAATTGAATATATATGAATTATTCTATTAAGTAAGAATGAAATATTTCTAGTTAGTAATTGATGATGTGTGACGTAAGCGTTCAAGAATTGTTAAGCTTTTATTTACACGCAAAAAATAAAATCGGAAATAGTTGGCGTTTGAGATCACAGTTTTTTCTCTTTTTTTCAAAAACTGTGTAAATTACCAGCCAAAGCAGCAAAAGCGTTATTTTAAAGCTCTAAAACAATTTCGTAAATGGAGTGAAATTCTCAAAGCTTGCACTAATAATACAGCTTGAGGCATTTTTTTAGAAACAACTGTATTTTGTAATAGTTTTTGAAATTTAAACAAAACTTTAGCATACAGTAAAAACATTTAATCAAAGTATATTTGAATGAAAAATTATAATATTTTGTTTTTATGAAATTAAGACTATTATGTATTTGAAATTCAATTCTGAAGTTGACTAGAGTATATCTTGTTCTGTGAGTACCGGAAATGAGGTCCTGTTTGTTTTTTAATGTATCGTTTTTAAGGCAAATGAAAATAGTAAAGTTTTTCACGAACGGGTGAGGGAAAAAGAGAAAATTAAATAAAAATTTAAATTAGTTTTTATTTTTAATAAAAGTTTGCAAACTGATTTTGCAGCTCAAACTCAGACTTTGATTTTCATTTGTCCATTAATTTTCTAAACTCGCTCTCTCTATTTCTTGCATTCAACTCTCAAAATCAGTTTGATCATAACCTCAATATATAGTCGATATATCATTATATATTATAATATAATATATAATAATATATAATATGGCTAGTATGTATTTGCTACTTACAATTCCATTGAAAGCACTGTAGGATTCGGACATGCTTGTGGGGCGCGTACGTGACATTGCTTGTGGCAGATCAAATTGCAGTCCCGACATTCGTAGCCCTGCTTGCCCGGTCGCCGTGGTATGGACTTCATGCAGACCTGACATTGTAGGCCACCACTGTGAATACATCGAAGGATTAGTTTAAAAGTAAGGCGAAAACTTAACTACAACAAGAGATGCACAACGGCCTTTCGAGGAGTTTTGACAGCAAAGCCCGAAGTGAAGCTTCCTTGTTGGAGAGACTCACTTACCCGCTCAAATGCTTGGCGATAAAGGTGTGATCATTGTAGATGTGCAATTTTGTGCCTTTGCGACGCCATCTTGGGCGTTGTGCGATTGCTAGCGGTACAATAAAGTGTCTAGAGTGTCAGAGAGGAAGTTATGAACGAATTAAAAGAAAATTCTAAAAATATAGTTAAAAATATCTCGTGAGCAGAGGTACTCGTGAATACAACTTCGCGTACGTAGAAGTTTTGTAGCCACTGGACTTACCGCTTTACACCATTCTCAATTGTCTCCAGCACCAGTGTGGATGCTTCATGTACGTACGTTTTGTTGCTGGCCGACGAGAAACCTGAGATTGCGGACGATTCTGAAATTGAAGATTGTCTTGAGTGATCAAGTCGTGAGGAGCCAGAGCGCACGCCTGCATTTTATCGCAGTTATGTTTTTTATTTTTTTTTTTTTAGCATTTTCGAAAATGTTTTTGAGTTATTGTTTTTCAATTTAAAATAATTTTTACAAAAGCGTGCAAGTTCGATGTATCAGAAAACGAAATTATGAGTTTTACACATTATTTAAAAAAAAATGTAAATAAACACAATTCACCAAATGAGTTTCGTTTTTAATAAATTTTTTAATTTTTTAAATTTTTTCCAAAATTTTGCACCGAAAAAATTATAAGTAACACAGTAGTGGCAGTAGTGGTAGTATATATAGCGTTGGGTGAAGGAAGTTGATAATCCAAATGTGTGTATAAAGATTTTTCCATTTTATTTATTTATTTATTTTTTTTTTTTGTTGTACAAAATCAAAATCGTCCAAAAACATAGAATTGGAAAATATGAAATTAAAAGAGAATAAAATTAATAAAATTAATTACAAATATATTTCAATTAATGCACAATTTAAAGCAAGAATAAATATTTTAAATCCAAATCCAAGCAGTAAATTTATATGAAATTATAAGGATTTTGACGCGAACCCAAAATAAAGGCATTTTTTTCAATTTCAGCAGGTGTTTCAGTGTTATTGTTGTAATTGTTATGTGGAAGATTTTTTACGCGTTTGTTAATGTGTGTGTATTTGTATGTTTGTATGTAAGTGTTTTAGTATTGGTATATTTGTTATTAATTAATTGGCCATACATACAATTCACATTTTGTCGACAAAGTAGGTTGGAGGTGTGTTAAAAGTGGAGAGAGACAAATATGCAGTAGAGTGTGGAAGGCGTAAAAAGACAGAGATAGACAAAATAAAAAACAACTACTTATTATTCTAAATATAAAAGGATATTAGTATATAGGGGTTGATACAAAATTGGTTGTGAATAAAATAGAAATTTAAGATTTTTTCCTGCCAGAACACCTTTGGTAAGTTACTTAAATATTTTATGTAAAAGCTAGGAAAGCTCGTAAGCTCTTAAGCACGCAAAAAATAAAAACATGTCAGCTTAAAAATTTGCTCTATAAACTTAAAGAAAGCTTCGCTATCAATTTAAATTAATTCCGAAAGTAAGGTACAACAAATAATTTTTTGAGAAGCTTCTTCGCATTGGCAAAATAATATCTCGACAGCAGGTAAAAAACTTGGAAAAAGAGCTTACTATTAATTCTAATGTATAAAATAAAAGAAATGTGACCTCATTGTAAATTCTTAAATACTTTCTCCAAAGCTTTGTATTAAACTTCCACTTTTAACCAATAATAAAGCAATAAAGCAATATTTTTTCTCTTGACGTGTCGTTAGCAATTCATAGAGAGTACCGAAAGTACCGAGTTGAAAAGGTTTCCATTGAACTAAATGAAAGCTTTTACTGTCAATTAAAAAAATGATAAAAAAGACAAATGCAAAATAGGAGCTTCAAATGAACACAACAGCTCTACCAGTCTCGCATACATACATAAATATATTATATCCATCACCAATATTTTCACTAGGGGCATACATACTAGTTCATACAAGCTTTATGGCGAAAAAGGCGCAAGTGAAAGTTAGCTTTACAGAAGGTATTAGGTGAAACCAAGACTCTAGATGGTATGGTGTTATGGTGGAGAGGTGGAATGGTAATTACCAAGTGAATTGCTTTTAGACATAACAGCACGATCGACAGATAATGAACGTGAATCACCGTTAAGTGTTCCTGTTGGGGTAGTACCGTTATTATTGTGGGACGGCGTTAAAGCGCCACGATCAGCCGAATGGGTGCGTGTCTTGGATCGACTTAAACGTTTTTTTAAAGTTCCAAAGAAATTTCGTTTCTTACTCCGTCCTCTCTCGTCCAAATCAGCAGCCGTGGTGTTCAGTGGTGTGCTTGAGGCGCCGCCATTGCGTGGCAAACTATTACTTTGGTAACCATGAGTTTGCGAACCGTTTGTAGTTGTGTAAGGAGAGTACCCGTTGTGACCCTGCGGTGAGGAGGCGGCATTTGGCTGGCCAAACTATTAAGGAATAAAGAAAATATTGCATGAGTTTTTACGGACGAAAAAAGCTCTTCATGGTGACTTAGCTTTGTGCGTTTTAAAATTTTTTAAAGCACACAGAGCTTTTAAATTCTTTTTCGTGTCTTCAAAATCGTGCAAACAGGTGTGCGAATGCGATTACATTTTAGTGAAATTGTAAACATACTCTGACATGCATTCATACTAACGAGGAAGGTATGATTTTGCGTACTCACCTCGCCGCTGGATGCAACCAAGGCGCTGCTGTTACCTGAAGCCACACCCGATTCGTCCAAGGATACATCGTTTGGGGGATATGAGTCTGTGGGGCTTGCCGTTATGTCTGTCGTCGCCGAAATATCCTGCTGGATCTGTTCGATGTCCGCTGTAGTATTAGCGGTGGGCAGAGATTCGCTGGTATTATCGTTTAAGGGCGTTCCAGCGGATGGTGGCATACCGCCGTCGAACTCATCTTGTGGCGTCTCCTTGACTTCGATTCTACCCTCTTTGTTCACCTCAACCTATTTCCGTTTGCAGACGAAGTTTCGAAGGTTTCGGATGTTGCGAATTTTGCAGGTTAATTTTGGTTAGAAAGCGCATTGTTTGATTAGAATTAAAAGCATTTGAAGAAAGTCAGCCAAAAACGAAAGAAATAATACATACGTAAGTATAATTCCAGACCTACAGTTTTGAGGTTATGTACGCTAGTATTTTAAATATGTACGTTTTAGGTAATTAAATAATAAATATGCACAAAATGAGTGCAACAAAAAATAATAAATTGATTTAGTTTGTTTATGAGAAAAATCACAAGCGGATTAGATTAATTTCTAAAAAAAAAAAAACTTTTACAAAGTATGAATGTACGAGTATATGCAGAGAAACTTAAATAAAAATTACCTTAAATGCATTTGAATTGTTTTGGTTCTATTTTTGATTTGATTTTTTGCGTTGCGTGAAGGTGCAAGATGATGAAATCATTTTTTTGCATTTTTTTTATATTTTCATGTTAAGCGGTTCATAATGTGACGGTGAATAACGGTTGTGAACGACATGAAAAACAAAAACCAAAATTTAGCACATCGAAATTATTTCAAAACAAAGTAAAGTGGAGAAAGCTGAGAAAGCACTTTCGGTCCCAGACTTCGGCTGAAATGTCCGTCTGGGTTGATTTTAAAATTTCTCATATATATTTTTCCAGTCCAGACAGTTTCAGCCATTTTCCACATACAATTAAGTAAACTTTTCACTCCAGTTCCCAATATTTATTATAACACCCACCAACTCACCCGCTGAACGCTATGTATGATCAGCGTGCTCTTGCTGGGCTGTCCCGTGGTGGAGAGTGCGCCATCTTGTAAAGCGCGAACAGCAGCATCGGCTAAATCGGCGCCATTCTTCATGTGCTCGTTAATCATAGGCGTGCTAATCCTCAACGCCTCCTTCAGTTTATACGGTTTAGGTCCAGCGGGTATTTCGGCACCTTCAATGAACACAAAGTCCACAGTGATGGTGCCGCTCACCGGATGCGTCTCATATGGACGCGGCTGTAGTGTCAGCACTTGGGTGGATGCAGGCCCAACGGCCAATTCATCAATACCCACCAAACCCAAACCGAGAAATTTCGCTGGATCATTGGCGTTGGCTGGGCGATCGTAAACTTCGAATAAAATCTCAGCCGACTGGGGTGAGAGTTCACTTAAAAGAGAAAATAATCGAAACGAAAAATTGTATAACAAAGCAAACGGTGATGAAGAAGTGTATACTCACAATAGGAAATGTTCGTCCCAATAAGGTGTGGCACCTTGTCGTGCCCCGGTCTGATTCTTTTGGGCCGGTTCATCCATCTCCACCACGACATAGGGGTCCTTAGCGTCTCCCAGACCATCACCTTTCACGATTTTCACCAGCAGACGGCGCCCAGAGATCATCGGTTGCAGACCCGACAAAGTAGGGTCCTCCATGTTTTGCTGCAAAGGGTGGTTTGGTTCGTTTTTGTATGTGTGTTTGTGAGCGTATGAAAGAGAAATGAGACGAGAAAATTGTTATGAAAAACTGAAAGTGGAAAGTGTACAGCAGTGAGAGGGAAAGGGCGCAAAGGCAATGAAATTCGCCCTTTATTTGAAAACGGATATTAATATATATTTTTCTGTTCAATATGCGACTTTCATTTACAAATTTTTAGGAACTACAATTTTTTCATTTTTTTTTTTATAATTCAAAACAATGAGGTTAGAAATTTTTCAGTTGAAAAATTGTCTTCAATAATTATAATAATATTGATAAGCCCTCTGAAATGAGAGAAAGCAAAAATAGTAAAATGAGTTTAGCTTTTGAAAAACGTTTTCGAATTATTTTCGAAGTTGTTTGTTAATTGTTTGTTACATAATGATGTTGTTACGTTTAAGTAAACAAAAGGCAAATTTCATCGACGGCAGTGCTGAGGATAAGATCATTTTCGATTTTTCAAAATTTTTTTTTGTATGCAAGTAGATGTGCACATAAATACATAACGCAATGCTGGGAAGTGGGTAGAACAATGAGAAGAATAATATTTAATTTCTTTGTGTTCATTTGTATGACATCCTATACATACATATATTTACAAGTAATTACAGTACTGCAGAGTAATTGTGTCAATATTTATTTGAATGAATGTTTGTATATTTGTATACGATGTTGCCAATTTTCATACCAAATTTTGTATGCAAAGTTTGTGCAAATTATGACATTTATTTAATGGCAAGCTGTCAATGAGAATGTCTAGGACAAACATAAACAATTTAATTAATTTTATTAACGGAAGACAAGGATAGAAGAACTCTGATTTTTAAACATGAAAATTGACTTTTTGAAAATTGTGATTTCTTTTTCACTTCTTCTCAGTGTACTGACGCTCACCGCTATTGCATCATAATTCACTGGATATATTACAGGCATATCTAATGGATCGATTTCGGCTCGTGGGCAGGTCGCGTAAACCGAAAAGTCCACCGGGTAGACGGTGTCACGTAGAGTGGCTGTTATGATGTCGCTAATCACTCCCTGCACCTGCTGTTCATCCTGGTCCATTGGTTTAATGGCCCCTACACTGTTCATGGCAACACGTATCTGGTGGTGGATTGTATATATGTAAATTTATTTAGCGAATTTGGTCTACTTTTTAAAAGTAAAAAATCTTACATCTGGATAACCGTCTACTTTCATCTCGCCCTTGAGGCTGTTGTAACTAATGGCGGTGGCCATGCGTGCACGGAAGCGTGAGACGGTAACTTTATAGTGGGAAGTGTCCACCTTGCCGGCCTTTTGGCGGAACGTCTTCACCTGCAACACTGGTTGTGCGTCGCAATCGAAGGTAATCAGCTGTGATTAATGGAAGAAAGTTACAGAGTGATATTAAAACATGCATACAGAATGGTAAATCTTCTAAGTGAGGGTTTACCTACCATATTAGATGGATTACTTTCGTCACAGTTGCAGAAAATATTATTTAGGCTTGGTGGTGGACTATCGGGCAGTACGCGCACTATCTCAACGGCAATCCCATGCTGAAAAGAAGAATTTAAATTTAGTTCAGATTGGTTGCTTGACCAAGAGCACATAAAAACTATTTATATGAAAAATCTGGGGAGCCGATTAGCCTTCATAAGAGCTTGAACAACGCATTAGAAATCAGCGAGATCTTCTTTAAGCGAGGACCAAGCTCTATCTGATTACTTTTCTACGGAAGATGTCGTAAATCGAAACTTTCAGAAAGTATCCCCAACTGCCGTAAAACTCTAGTTATACTCACACTAACACAACTAATGACGATTATTATTTTTAAAGCTGTTACTTCTTGTGGAGATTCTTCTTATTTGGGAGGGGTATGAGATTAGCCCACAGTATATCAATTTAAATTGATCCAGGCTTTCGCGGTTCTAATATAATTGGCCTAATTGTGTGTTGTAAGACAATTCATATGGCGTGGGAGTTAAGTTGGGTTAGATTATACTGGCCGGTTGGTGCGCCTTACATAGAATCGTTGACCCATTGTAGTAGATGTAGGTATTGCACGTCTACGCCTTTCCACAAGTTCAAGAGATGCTTGATATCCCATTCCGAAGCCTCCGCTAGTTTTTTGAACTGCGAAGCTACGAGAAATCTAAGACGGATTCTCGCTAAGATTAGATTACGTAAAAAAAATAAAGGGCAATGATTGAGAAGAAACTCTTTACTTATAGCGTTAGCATTCCATATTCTAATTACGGAAAGTCATAATTGTATCAAAAAAAAAAAAAAACGTGACTATTATGAGCCAGCCAGATTACTTCCTTACCTTCATAGGGCATTTGAATCTGTCCCAGTTTCTTGTTCCTTCATTTTTATTAGGCATTTCTTTGGCTTTTGTAAGCTTCTATTGATATTTTTCGTTGTAGGTCCCCGCCCAATTTAGTGAAAAAAATTCATATACAAACGTATGTATATACTGCATATACATACATATGTCTGAATATTTTTGAATCAAAAAATATATGTACGAGTATGTTTGAATGTTCCTCTGACCAAGCTCAACAAGGTGTAAACTTACATATGTATGTACATATATTTCTGTGAGCGCTTTTCTACGAAGATTTGCATGCTCCTGTTTGTGTTTTTAATGTTTGTATATTTTATAAATTCCATGTGGTTCTGGTCTTTGGCTCTTCGAAATGTTTTATTTTTATTTTATTTCATAGCTTTTATTATCGCTTCCCTTACTTATACGTTTTTATTTTTGTTTTTATTTTTATTTTTACTGCTGAATTTTGTTGTTGTTGTTGTTTTTTTTTTTTTTTTTTTTAATATTATTTTGTGCGTTGAAACCGAGGCCAAGGTTAACATTAAACTCTTTTTTCTTTCTTTTCTTTTACTCACATTCGTATGTATTTATATACAAATCACAAAATATAAATACTATCCACCGTATTTTTCGTGTTTCTTCATTCAATTATTTTTGTTGTAGACGATTGTTCAATATTTTATCGCCTGCGGCTTTTCATGGGCGATGTTTCGCATGATTTTTGCTTTACTCAAATTTGTCTTACAAACCGAGCCGGTCTTTTTGGTTATTATTATTTGTAATTACTTGGTTTTGTTGGTGAGCTTGAATTTATATATAAATACAAATATATATAATACAAATATTATCTATATATAATATGTATTCACCTACTCGTAAGAATGTACATATATTTTTGAAACATATCTGACGTAATACATGATTCAATTTTGTTATTATGCGATGTGACGGCAGAGTTTGTTGTGTTGTTTGAATTTTTCTGTTATTTTTCGATTCGTGCTACAACAACAACGATTGTAACTAAAATACAAATCGAAGCAAGCAAAGTGATATCATAGCTGTGCGATTTGTTCGAACACGCTTTTGAAACTTGAGACAGGCAACGAAAGCATTGCTTTGGTATCTCTGACCATTTCGTGAGGAAAGGAAAATAAATTAACCATTTAATTGGACAACTAAAGGTTAAATGCCTTCCAAGTCAAGAGCATGTTAAACGAGTGAGCCCCGAAAAGTCAAGACGTTATTGTCTGTTTATTAAAATTTTGTAATTAAATAAAGAAATAAAGTAAATGAAATTATAAACTTATCTCCGTTATTTGAATATTATTTTAGTTCTGTGTAATATTAAAACTTTGAAAGCGGAAATCCACTGTCATCGAATAAATATTTGAGAAAAAGTTACAAATTCGGTGCGTTACATAAGTCACTTCAAAAAAAAAAAAAACAAGAGTGTAGTGAGAGGCTCTTCATCTGTCTACTTTTTAGCCTTTACTTAGCAGACACAGTTCGCACGCCGTTAAAAACATAATCTATTCGGCTGCGATGAGGTCATGCCGCATGTTATATGTATACTCACTCCTGGTAATACATTGACAAATACTAAAAACTAGTTCTAAAAGGCGTTTGGCAAGTTTCGTTAGATGCGCAAGGGGCTTTTCCTCAACATAACTATAAAATGTGTAAATTTCATCAAATTTCTAACTCACCTCTTCCATTGATTTCTTGAGTGTCTCATTTAAGGCTATAACCCATGAGGTTAATAATTCGTTGACAATCACCAGATCGCTGTAAAGCCAACGGAACACTTGGCTGGTCCAAGTCACAGAAGTCTGATGAGAAAATTAACATATTTACGAGTTTTGCGACGTCAAATATATTCTATATATTTCTGGTTTTCAAATACTAACTGTTTCGGGTCCAACAACATTGGACGGTGGCGGCACATATCGTTTCTTGCGACTCTCCGGCCCAGTTGAGCCCTGTCGCACCATTCGTCGGCGTGCACCACCAGCGCCAATTCCGGTACCGCCGCCGCCACCAGCGCCACCAACGGGCGTGCGACCGCGTGCGCCACCTGATTTGGCCGCTAAGTCCTATTCGGGGATAGTAAAAAATATTTTGAAACATTTTCAGCAAATCTCCTTTCGTTTTCGTCTCGTTCTGCCCACCTTAAAATCCGCTTTGCTTGCAATCAATTCTCTCGGTTCGGATAGTCGTTTGTTCGCTTCGGCTTTCGTTGCACTGGCTGCGCCGGGTGCCACACTAGTCTGTCGACTATTACTCTGACTTGTCGGCGTTTTGCCATTATTATTATTTAACATATATTTATTATATAAAAATTTACACAGCCATACTAAGAAGAGGGCCAATACGGCCCAAATAAATATGAACATTGCTAATGAGTCCATTGTTAAATCACCAATTCCTTCAAATGAACAAATATAATCATCGATTTGATCTGCTAAATCCATAATGCGATTACAGATGCATAAAATCAATTGTTATGCATCATATCTGTAAGGAATAATAAGAAAGCGAGGTTAATAAGGCAATAAACCAAATATTATATAGAACTGTATATATATATATATGTGTATGTATAGTAAAGCTGAACAGTTTAGAGAAGTTTACAAGGGAAGCTTAATACTGCTCATACATATATCTCTTCATTTACAGGAACAGTTGAAGTTATTAATTATTGGACCTCTGGCCCTTTATGAAAGGACAAGAAAAGAACACAGAATACTTGTACTATATTTAAGCATTAAATGAGGAAAGTGGAATCCGCTTATGGATATTTATCCATGAAGAGCACGCCAAGTACAAATAAGAATATTTACGATTTCGAATACAAGGACAGTTTTTGTTCCAGCAAAAGAAGAGAAAATCAATAAACAAAAAAAAACTGAAAACAATTTATTCGCATCCTATTCATCTCAAAAATATATACAAACATATCTACGTACATATATGCATATGCATATAGAGTGTATATTAATTTTTGGCTTTTCTTTTATTTTCATTTTTCGTCACTTTCGACATTTCAATTTTTCTTTAAATCACTTGAGATTCTCACATTGATGGGTGGTCGATTGTCAAAGCACATTTGGGGATCCTCCAACCTACATACACACACACACACACACACACACAAATTCAATATGTACTTGCGAAAATAGCTAAACTCTCACTGCCGAAAAGTGGTCGTTGGTTCGTGCGAATGACCGAAGTGCATATTGGAGCTTTCTGCGAGTGAAATTCTGCTGAAAATTACCAGAGAAAGCAAAAAATATGATTTTTACTAACCTATTTTTAGTACACTAGCTGATGAATTTTTCACATTGGAAAAAGATTTTTTTTTTTCAGTTTTTTCATAAATTCGAATTGTCTTTGCTATTTTGGAATTTATGGAGCATACACGACAAATACAAAATGGATGAACGAACGACGTAGATACAAGTGGATGTGTGAATACTTATTGCGCAAACGGTGAAAACGGCTTAAGCAAAAATTTAAAAATCATTATAAAAGGGATCTTTCAATAATTCTATTTTTCACTTTTTTGCTTAATTTTTAAATTTCCATTGCATCAAAATCGAACCGAAAAAGCACAAAACGAAACGAAACCGAACCGAATGAGGGGTGTTGAATCAAAAACAGAATTCAAAACCTTTCAAAACCAAAGCGAAACCAAACTAAATTCAATTATTTTTGAGAGATCGTTGGGACTGCTCGCTTGGATGGTCGTTGGCGATCAAGCAGAGGAGCGCAACGCACATAGTGGAAAGTGTGAGAGTAGCCGGCAGAGATTGCGTGGAAATTAGGCAAAGTTCGTTGGTGCGTTGGAGGTATTCGAAATGAATTGGGAAAAGCAAATGTGGCCCAGTTGTTGCTGGGAAAATGGGGAAAAGCTCTTGGATGCATACATTTTTGGATCTGTCTCTCTCTTTCTTTCTTACCCTCTCTATCTATCTCTCTTCCTGTCTCTCTCTCAGTCTCTCTAAAATTGTCAATAAAAACAAGGAAAAGTGCAAAAAGCGACCACCTCAGTTTTGTTACATATCACACATACATATATATATAAATACATGCATATGTATATAAAATGTAGATAATAGACACAATTGCATGCAATGAGTTATACAGAGTAACAGTTGGCTTTGGTTGCCTTGCAGCCACTTTCACACCTTCCCTACTCAATTTTTGACGTCATACTGTTTTCGGTTTGAAAATAAATTTTAATTTATGCTTACACACATGCCTACGTGTATTTGTATGTTTGGATATGTGAATTTCTCAATCAGCGGATGTTTGGTCTACCTCATCGTTGTTGGATCACTATTTTCAGTGACGTAACTGTGTGCACAATGAAATCGTTTTCAGCGTACTTTCCGTCTTTGAGCGCACGCCACACAACCCAAAATGTTCTCGATTCTGTAATTATGCTTTCATGGCTGTTGAGTTTTAGATTTATCTATTTTTTAATTAATGCAGAGCTATTTATAATTATTCGATCACACAGTCTCACTCCAATACAATTGAATGGGACTCCATTGAAAAACGACACCCAATTTCACTTTTCCTCCGACCATTAATTTTATAATTTAAATCCATCGAGATAAGTGGCGCATGGTGTAGTGACACACACAAAGGTGTCTGGATCGATGCTAAAATAGAACCAAAAAATGCTGAGTGCAGTCATCCGGAGTTCTTAGGCCATTTAAGTAGAGCTGCGCTATTTTCGGATCGAATTCTAAGGGTGACATTGAAATTTATTGCATTGCATGTGAATGTTAAAAATAAGTCATCGTAGTGTTTTCTCAGCGCATTGGTGTCTCCATTAAAACCGATTTGTTTTGGCCGCACTTACAAAGTTCGAAAAATACCACCCAATCAAATGCAGCAGTTCGCTGGTACTGGCTCAAATGTACACATGTCAGCGCTCACGGAAGGACGAGTGCTTGGACGTTCTATCATTGAGATGTTACATGAAATTCACAACTTCAAAAAATCATTTCTTTATATTGTCTCACATCTCAAAAATATTATCCTATATTTTGAAGTGGATGCCCATAAAAATTTCGTTTGCGCTCTCAAAGTCAGGCAGGTTCAGCTCTTAAACTTAAACGATCTTCTCTAAGCTGTGTTTTCAATGTCAGTTGACTCAAACGATGAAACTTTATTGGAGATACAATTCACCAGGAATTGGATGAAAGATTTTTTATTTCATGACTATTTAAAAAAAACGTTGAAACAAAATTTGCATTATTTTGTAAAAAAAAAAAAAAATATTTGCCAAAAATTCAATTTTCCTCCGCTTAATTTTGGTTTATGGCACTACCTAATTGTTTTTCATTTCAGCTCTCCTGTCAGAAAATTTCAGAAATTCCTTTTTAATTGCATATCTTTATGACATTAAATAGTTTGAATAAAACGTTTTGATCTTTATATAAAATAAATGTTCAGAATGGATCTTTTTTCCTTCCCGAATAAATCCATGTAACTCCTTAGCTACGTTGGTTTGTGGAAAATAGAAATGTGAACTATGCAATAGACTTGTTTCCTTTCGCATAGTTTTTTGGAAAACAAGATATTTAGTATAACATCCCGTTACTTTTCTGTATGAAAGTTCTTACATACATTTGTATGAATAGGTACATATATTTTTGTATAAACCACCATGTTTAATATCAATCAATAGCCTTGATCCTTCAATAGGCACAATTTATTTATTTTAATTTCCTCACTTCATTTGCATACCCGCCCCAACATCTGCCCGCCCGCCGTCAACGAGCTGAACAGAAATTTGTGCCTTTTAATATTTGAATACGAAAAACAGATGCTTCCGCTGCTGTCAATGAGCAACATGTTGCAAATACATTTCATATTTACTTACATACATATGTGCAAATGCATATATATTGATGTCTGTACGTATGTACATATGTAAGTGCATGGACTCTAGTGTTCGCTGCCAAAAATTAAATCTGCAAAATCTCTTTCTTTAAGCTAAATGTCTATTCTTGTGAGTGAATTATTTTTATTTTTACATTTGTTTATCTTAAACTTTTTTTTTCTTTGAAATACGAAAAATGCTTTTCTGTTGTAAAACACACAATTTACATGATATATTGAATGAATGAGCAATGGGCAAAATGAATTTGGCACTTGTTGCAGACTGCGGGCGAGTTATTGTACAACAATGGCAAAAACACAAAATTAAAACCAGAAGAAAAAGACACGAGCCGGTAGCTAAGTGCATATCTTTACATAAGTGAGTAGTCATTTGTTGGAAATCCGTACAAGAAGATCTCCTAACATTTTCACCTATGCATCGAAATGTTTGCTTATACGTGTACATTAGTTGTTCGTGAAATGTTTGAAATTAACACTAATGTTTATAGATACTTAAATATTTATATATGTTTTTTGCTGATTTCGAATTGAATTACGCTATTACAAAAACTTTAAATTGCATATTATTTATACGGCCTGGGGAATGTTTTGCTTGAATAACAACGGATTTTCACCAATAAATACATTCATATATTGGCTGCAGCACAGTAGGTGTGTATTTGCGTTGTGCACTGTGATGTCATTACGGTGACGTTTGCTAATTTATTTACAATCTAAAGATGAAAATTTAGCAATTTTCTGCGCCCACGAAGATCCGATACACAGCAGGAAATAGGTCTCGTAAACATACCGACAGTTAAGTATGGTCGAGACTGCAAGATGAATTTTGTAATTTCCGTCTGTGTCTATTGAAAATAAATATTTCACCAGTTCATTTCTCTATTTTGAGATCTCTGGCAATTCAAAGCAAACCAAGCTGGTATCCACGCCATACGTAGACCTGTATGCCCTTTGTAATGCCAAAAGGCGGATTTTTGGAAAGTTCCCAAGAGCTTTAATAACTTTCAAAACTAGTTAGCCTACTCTAGTCCTATATATATAATATGAATTATAGATAAGGCCAGACAAAAGTAGAGGAGATGTTCCAGCATCTCACTCATCGCATTCCTTCTTTCCTGAAATACCTTAACGTTTCTTTTCCTTCCGTGCTTTTGCACATGATATTCGTGATCCCGCATGTCGTTAAGCCACTCCATCCCGTCCTTATCCGTCTTACATCCCTTGTATCCTTTCTAGTGACTTGCGCATTTCCTGTACGGGTTCGGTAGCCAGAAGAATGGCACATTTAGCAATCTTCCCTGGAACCCAGTATTAACGCTTGGCTTGGCATATATTGATATTTTTTATATGGTTTCCTGCGTTAATATCTATCTCAGTAGCTTTTGTAACCACAAGGACCGCATGCAGTAATCTATAAGCTTGAAGGATTGCCTAAGATTTAGTTCCGCACAGTAGAATCTGGCGTACATTTTGTCATCTATTTTCGATCCGTTGGTGTAGATATCGTAAGCTCCGCTGATCGCTGACATACCGACATGAAATATG